AAGCCTGAAGATAATGATTCTACTCACCAGAACAAATACAATAAGCTGTAGTTGTTTTGATGACTATAGTATCCCTTTAACCCCTTGAAACCGGAGGGTATACTGTTATGCCCTATTCTAATTGGCTTTAAATGCCGCAGGTGTGTAATAGTACGCCCTCCATTTTTTTGTTACTTACCCGGTCGCCGGCGATCCCACGTCAGCAATCGCGGTTGGGGAGACTCACCTGGGATCCCAGGGAGTCCCCCCCGGCAGATCCTGCCTCCTCCGGTCCCCCCCGGCCAAGTGAGAGTGCATTGCCAGCAGGGGGACTGCCTGTAATGACAGTTAGTCCCCCTGCTGGCTGGAAATAAAATAAATGAAAGTTAAAATCAGTGTAAAAAAAAATAATGATATACTTAGATCATATATATATATATATATATATATATATATATATTTATACACACACACATATACATACACACACATACACTGTCTAGGTGTATTTTACTATTAATATATATATAATTTTATATATATATTAATATCAAATTACACGTAGACTGATACTGATTAAATATATATATATATATATATATATATATATATATATATATATATATATATATATAATTATTGTTATATATATATATTTATATATAATATAAAAAAAAATATGTATGTTAAAAAATAAATAACGCAGTTGTTCTGTTGACTGTAGTGTCCCTTTAAATCTTTTTGTGCCTTGGACCTTTTTCTTTCCTTTGAAATGTACATTTTTTTCTTCCAAACAGATAAAGCATAAATAGTTGCCAGATTGGTGGGCAGCTATTTGTACTGCAACCTTTTACATTTCTCCCTCAATGCAATTAAATACTTTGTAAACTATTGCCTGCAGGGCCGGACTGGCCCACCGGGATACCGGGAAATTTTCCAGTGGGCCATCGGCACCTGGGGCTGGGGAGACATCTAGGTGACCTGCAGCTGCAGGGGGAGGAGAGCTCTGATGGCGGCCGCAGGGGGAACTGGCTGTTCTGTCTCTGCTCCTCCGCCCTCGTGCACTACTTAATAAGACCGGGGCCAGTCTCATTAAGCTGCACGCTGGGGAGCAAAGACAGCCAGCTCCCCCTACGGCTGCCAGAAGAGCCAGCTCCCCCTGCGGCCGCCATCAGAGCTCTCCCTGCGGCTGCCAGCACACCCATCTGTCTGCCCACAGGTAGCAGCAATTATGTGTGTCTGTGGGAGTGTATGTCTGTGTGTGTCTGTCATGGTGTGTGTGTCTGTGTCATGCTGTGTGTGTGTCTGTCTGTCATGGTGTGTGTGTGTGTCTGTCATGGTGTGTGTCTGTGTCATGGTGTGTGTGTTTGTCTATCTGTCATGGTGTCTGTGTGTGTCTGTCTATGTCATGGTCTGTGTGTGTCTGTCATGGTGTGTGTCTGTCTGTGTCATGGTGTGTGTCTGTCTGTCATGGTGTGTGTGTCTGTCTGTGTCATGGTGTGTGTCTGTCATGGTGTGTGTGTGTGTCTGTCTGTGTCATGGTGTGTGTGTGTGTCTGGCATGGTTTGTGTGTGTCTGTGTCTGTCATGGTTTGTGTGTGTCTGTGTCAGGGTCTGTGTCATGGTGTGTCTGTCAGGGTATGTGTGTGTGTCAAGGTGTGTATGTCTGTCATGATGTGTGTGTGTGTCTGTCATGGTATGTGTGTATCTGTCAAGCTGTGTGTGTGTGTCTGTCAAGGTATGTGTGTGTGTCATGGGGTGTGTGTGTGTCATGGTGTGTGTGTTTTTAAAAATAGTGTTTTTACTCACCTTTTTTTTTCCCCCAACGTCGTGCTGGTCTCCCCTCGACTGGCCCTGCCTCTATGGCTGAGATCATCAAGCTTGATGATCGCAGCTAATCTGCACTGACACAGGAAGCACCTCTAGTGACCGTCTGAGTGTCTGTCACTAGAGGTGTCACTAGGAAGCAATGTAAACACTGCCTTTTCTCTGAAAAGTCAGTGTTTACATTGAAAAGCCTGCAGGGACTGGCTGTAGACACCAGAACAGAGGTGGCTCTCTAATTAGGCGATTTAGGCGGCCGCCTAAGGCCTCACGCAGTCAGGGGCCTCGCGGCCGCCTAAATCGCCTGAGGGCAGACTGACATGTCGGGTCCTCGGTCTACGGCCGAGGACCCAACACAGGAGGAGACCCCTCCTGTCAGTCCTCCCGGGGAGAGAGCTGGCCTCAGTCTGCAGCTCCGCCGGGTGTGAGCTGCAGACTGAGGTGTCTCGCGCTCTCCAGCTAATCAGAGCGTTGCCGCGGGTTACCACGGCAACGCTCTGAATGGAGATCGCGAGACAATCCCCATGTGGTCTGCAGCTCTGCATCCGGCAGAGCTGCAGACCGGAAAGCCCACTGGACCACCAGGGAGCCATCCAGGACACTGGACCACCAGGGAAAAAGGTACATTTTGACCCCCCCTCACCCTGCACCACACCTGTCACCCCCCCTCACCCTGCCACCTCACCCTGTCACCCCCCCTCACCCTGTCACCCCCCCTCACCCTGCCACCACCCTGTGACCCACCTCACCCTGTCACCCCCCCTCACCCTGTCACCCCCCCTCATCCTGTCACCTCACACTCTCACTCTGCCACACCCCCACCTCACCCTGTCACCCCCCACCTCACCCTGTCACCCCCCCTCCTCACCCTGTCACCCCACCCTGTCACCCCCCCTCACCCTGGTGTGTTTGGCAAATCTGCCACCCAGTCACCCCCCTCACCCCACATCTCACCCTGCCACCCCACCTGTCACCCCACCTCTCATCCTGTCACCTTGCCCTGTCATTCCCCTCTCACTCTGTCACCTCACCCTGTCACCTCCCTCTCACCCTGTCACTCCCTCACCCTGTCACCCCACCTCTCATTCTGTCATCCCCCTTCCACCCCACCTGTCATCCCTCACTCCCTCTCACTCTGCCACCCCCTCTCAGCCTGCCACCCCACCTGTCACCCCCTCAGCCTGCCACCCCTTCTCACCCAGTCACCTCCCCTCACCCCACATCTCACCCTGCCACCCCACCTGTCACCCCCCTCACCCCACCTCTCACCCTGTCACCCCCTCACCCTGTCACCCCACCTCTTACTGTCACGCACCCTGTGACTCCCACACTGTCACCCCCCTTACTCTCACCTCACACTGTCACCCCACGTCACACTGTCACCCCACCTGTCACCCCCTCACCCTGCCTCCCCTCTCACCCCACATTTGACCCTGTCACTCACCCTGCCACCCCACCTGTCACCCCCTCTCACCCTGCTACCTCACCTGTCACCCCCTCACTCTATCACCCCACCTCTTACTGTGTCACCCACCCTGTGACCCCCCCACACTGTCACCCCCTTACTCTGTCACCTTGTCCTGTCACTCCCCACACACCATCACCCCACCTCACACTGTCACCCCCTAATACTGTCACCCCCTCTCACTCTGTCACCCCCTTTCACCCCCCCTACACTATGTCACCCTCCCTCACAATAGGTCTCCCCCCTCTGTCTCTTCCCTCTTACTCTGTCACACCCCTTACATGAATGTCACCCCCCTCTTACTCTGTCACCCCCCTCTTACTCTGTCACACCCCTTACACTAATGTAACCCTCTCACACTATTGTCACCCCCTTCTTACTCTGTCACCCCCTCACACTATGCCACCTCCATACACTATGTCACCCCCTCACACTATGTCATTTTCACCACACACCCTGTCACCTCTCTCCGCACACACTGTCACCCCCCTCCATACACACTGTCACCCCCCTCCATACACACTATCTCTCCCTCTAAACACACGGGCACCACTCTCCGCACTCTGGCACCCTCCTGCTATTTTTACAATCCTTTACTCACCCTGTCACCCCCTGAAGGCAATCATTCTACACACTGTCATAAAACATAGCTTCGCCATGAACTTAATGCCAAAGGCCACAGGCAGTAACACAAACATACATATGCTGAGAGAAACATGCATACATATACAAAGATACTCACTGCCAGACACACACTCTCAGGCACACACAGGTAGACAATGCAACGACGTATACAAAGACTAGTTCTATATCCAGTACTGCAAGCCCGCCCTTCAATATATCTACAGCTTCTTATACACACACAAGTCAACTGCTATTTTTTTCCAATAATGGTGTTAGTGGGGGCCTCATGTATGAGTTTCGCCTAAGGCCTTCTGTGTCTGCATGTGAGTATGCTTACTGTATAATTAAACGTTTTACTCTGAAAGGACCAATATTTTATATTAGAAAAAGCTATATATATTTGAGATATGTATATATATTTCTCAATCATCTGGGGTGGCAAGACATAGCCTTACATATTACATGCGACAATATATGGCGCAATGACTTATGGGGCTATCATAGATTTTTTTTTTCCAGGGCTACTTTGTATCCCCAGTCCGGCCCTGATTGCCTGCTTCTTCCAAAACCATATCCCATTCTCTCACCAATTAAATATTCACTTGTATCTTTGACCTCTCTCCTGCTTCCAGCTGTCGTGTATAGTAAAACTGTAAGGGAAGCAAATGATCCAAGGGAATAGTACTGGACCATGTCACCAGTTGCAGGATAAACCAATACTTATGCACACAGCCCAAGGCAATGTTGCTAAGGGAAGAAAGTTGGGAATAGAACAGAGAGAGCAAGCCAAGAGAGTCAGTTTGAGCTGTCCTTACAATCACATCTCCAGCTCACCCTGGAACATTTCATGAGATTTTATTCCAGAATTATGTAAAAAAAATATTACTCCTGATTTCCAAACTGATTGATTTGAAGCAGCTGTTACAGTTTGTTTGCTCCGCATAACTACACTAGTGCC